TGAACCTTGTTTATGCTGATGATTTCGTATATGTTGCAAATTGTGGGCTTGACTGTTGATATACCTTATGATGGTTCGAAAAGGTGATTGGGTATGACATTCATGATTGATGTATTTGGATATACAAGTGGGAAAATATATATCTCATGGTGATATTATGATATTTAAGGAGGATGACTTGCACGAGGGTTTATCCCGATGAAGTGCAATTATACGACTCCTGGTTTACCTATGTTGAGCCAATTATGGCCAGGTCAAGTACATGTGCAAGTAATGAATTATGATTAAGCAAGATGAGATATGAATCATGTATAAGGATACCAAATATGAGTGTTGTGGTCTCACGGTCAACTACATAGTAATTAGGGCTCCCTATGCTATTACTCTATTATGATATGTATGATAGTCACACCTCTCATGTGGTGGTGACTGAAGATTTCTTACGAGATATGACCACACCCAGAGCGGTGTCGGGGTATGACTACACCCATAGTGGTGTGGGGTATGTATGACCACATCCGACGGGATGTTGGGGTATGTATGACTACATCCGACGGGATGTGGGGTATGTTTCCCGGGAGAGTTAATAGCATGGGAGTAGCCAGGCGCCTATAAGTAAAACATGATAAGATGCATATGCATAAGTCAATGTGGTTGAGTCTTTTGCCTATTGGGATGTCGGATGCTTGAGGTCTGATCCTAGTGCTTGGGCTTATTTGCTAGATGTATGGTAGGGGTATGCTCTGTTATGAACTCACGATGCTATGATTATCTCACTCAGCTATGAGCTGACCCTCTTTATCCTTTTTCTCTGCTTATGCCATGTGTAAGCAGATCATCGTCATCAGCAGCAGTAGATAGTTGTATAGGTGGGAGCTGAGCAAGAGTTGAAGGCAAGATGAGGTATGGTCTTCAACTATTCTGTGCTTGGACTACTACTCGAGATTTTGGCCAGTGATCCACACCTTTTTGTAAAATGTTTTGAGAACGTTTTTCATGTGCATACTAGCTTCTGATGTAGTGTGAGATATCCACAGGTGTGGAAAGTTGATGATATGTGTATATTTGTGTAATTATGTAAGTTGTGACGATTATGACTTGTATAAGTATGGTATGTAGTTGCAGAGTACGAAAGTGTGGCTATGGTTAAGAAAAGCCAATGCATATGGTTGTGAGTATGTATGTTTGTGATGAATTATTTTGCAGGATAAGTTGCAAGAACTGTTAGCCCATTACGCGAGTAATTCATGTCGAAATTTTATTTGGGTAAATTTTGATAATTAGTGTAACACCCGAGATTAATTCCGCTGCAATTGTATGAACAATATGATTAGGCAAAACGTATAGGGTAGGGTGTTACAATCATTAATGTGAGGACTAGCTTAATGGTCATGAAACTAGCCGCACTCCTAATCCGATTTGCTGACCCAATGTCACCTCCACCAGGTTCACTAACTAGGGATACAATCTATTTCCTTCCAATAGGTTGCACCTATATGCAAACTAGTTTGATATGTCGATGGTCACACACATATCACCCTAGCATTACCTAGGTGGACATCCCAACTGGCAGGGGATGGTCACCTTGACCACCAATTAGGCCGCGAGATCATTCATCTACACTAACATGCTAAACTGCTCAAATCCACAATCATTGCAAACCCTAACTAGGCAATCATGAAAAGCATACGGAGAGACAAGTTCAAAGTATAATCACACATATAACTGCATATAAACAGTAAGTAAACTTATTTCATTCACAAACCCTAACAAAATTCCTTCCACATAATAAAACCTATCTAGGATGTGGAGATTAAACCTTTAGTACCTTGAGTAACTACCCCTTAAAGGGGGAATAATATTCATGGAAGAATGAGAAAGAAAACTAGAGGGTGATTGGTGAGAATTTCCTTCCTTCTTGGCTCATCCTTCTCTTCTTTTCCTTCCTTCAGCTTCTCTCTCGAAACTCTCGCTAAAACCAGAAATTTTCCAAGTGTTATTAGCTCTCTTGTAAAGAGGAAGGAGTCTCCCATTTATATACTTCAGGAAGGTGGACAAGTTCGCGGTTGAGAGCTAGAAGATCGCGGCGTGAACTTCGAGTGTGAGGCCGTGATCTTGAAACGCATCATTTTTGCTCTGGCTGGCTCGAGAGTTCGCGACATGACTTCACGGTCGCGATCCATAAGTCGAGGCAACGATCTTTATTGCTATTTTGAAAAACTAAGGCCCCGTTTAGTATCATTCGTTGCTGTTGTGGTTGCAGTGGTGTTGTGTAAACAGATGTACAACCACAACAGGAAAAAAACAGAAAACACAAACCTGTTTAGTTGATAAATCTGAAAAATCATGAAAGCTGACAACAAGAAACAAAAACGCGTTTAGTTACTACTATAAGAATTAAAAACCAGAAAAAGTGACTGGCGGCGGCGGCAGGGCGGGCGTCGGCTGCTGGGCGGGCGGGCGTCGGCGGCTGGGCGGGCGGGTGTCGGCAGCAGGGCGGGAGGCGGTTGCTGGGCTGGCGGCTATCGAGCAGGGGGCGCAGAGGCGGGGAGGCGGAGGTGAGGCGGCGCGACGCGAAGGCGGAGGCAGAGGGGTCAGGGCGCGGAGGTGGAGGTGGCGGGGAGGCTGGGCGGGCGGTGGCCGGCCCGTAGGTGGGGAGGCGGAGGTGAGGCGGGCGGCGCAGAGGGGGATGGGCTGCTCTGTTTTGAGAAAATGGAAGGGTTGGGGGCTGTTATGTTCAAGTAGGGTTTGGGGTTTGTTCCTATGTGTTAAAAAAATTGCTTCTGTGGGGATTCGAAAACTGGACTGGTTTAATGAAATCAAGTGCCCAACCAGTAGGAATCCCGTCTGCAACATGTTTAAGAATCAGATCCAAAGCAATAAATTGTTGTTTCTCATATTTGGGCCTTGTTGTGCAACTCTGATTCACAACAGAAAATAAAAACCCAACTAAACACAATTTTATTTTCTTGGTTTTCCAAATTTCATAAAACACAACAAAAACAAGCAACAATACTAAACATGCCCTAAGGCTGTGAGTCGACTATCGAAACTCTCTGTCCATTCCAAATGTCGTGATCTTTTGCTAGACTTTGCGACTCTTATTCTCGGCCGTGATCTCTTCCCTTTAGCCGTGGTCTCCATGTTTTACTCATTTTCCTACACTTGTGACCCCCTTTTGTGTCTAAAACGCAAGTATCATCTAATACTTCCTAAAATAACATAAATTACTCCAAGAAACATACTCGAGATGCATTTGATAAAATATATATTAGCCATTGATACCATGAAATGATCTGAAATGACCTAAAATATAGAGGCTAAATTTTGAGTGTTATCACCTTGAACTGAAGCGCATTCAGAATTGATTATATAATCATATGCAAATCACATTTGCTTCCCTTTTCCCCTTTAAACATAACAACGTATCACAATCAACTTATACATAAAATCCTCTAATTTGCATTTTGAGAACAATTACTTATAAATTAACATGAAGAATTTTTTTGGATAGAATACTATTACAAGTGTGTGCATAGGCCTTTTTGCTTACACCTTCTGATTCTTGTCCATAGATTTTCAGTCATTCAATTACTACATTAACATTTTCATAAATAACAAATGCGATGTTCATCTAACCGCTGAAAATACGGTAATCAAACAACACGTAACTAGATGCGGCACACCCATGATAGACTGAGTTGGGAAAGACAAGACCGAGTGCCAGAAAACCCTGTTGACGATCCCAACAAATACGATCAATATAATTGCGGTCTAAAAATATGTTTCTTTGGTCCCCAAGTATACGAGGAGGGTTCCTGGAAACCGAGAATTTGGTTGGGGAATTGGAGTTAATATATATAGTTTGAATGAGACAAGTCAATTGTATGATCTTCCTGCCTGCCTGTGATAGTTTGTTTGAAATCAACTAACCTTCTCCTATTTCCCAAAAATATATATAATTAAGAAAATGTATACTAGAGAATCTGGATATGTGGTGATGGTTGACGAATTGACAGCCCAATGGTCAGAGGAAACTTAGCCTTCTTCTGGTTCCAACTAAGACAGTGAGAATTTTATTAAGAGTTTGGGATAAACAATTGTTGGCCAACTACCTAGATATGATATTTCTTAAGGCAGAGCGACCGACTGTCACATGCATGATTCTTTCCTTCCCTAGTCTGATGCATGGATTCCTGCTTAGTTATATATATATATACAGGAATGAGAATGAGTCGGATTCGTGGGTAATTTGATTCACTTATCATGAGTCATATGAGTATTTGATCAAATTTTTAAGTTTGTGTTGGATTTGAATTAAATACAATTTGGATAAACTTTTTTTGGATATGACTCAAATGAGTTTGTTAAGTTAGGTTAAGATAAATGTACACAAAAAACGATAATATCGACCATCTTTAATGTTGATGTTGCCTTTTTTATGTTTATTTCATAACAATAAATAAGGCAAACAACTACATTAGAATTGAGTATTCATCTTCTTTTGTGTCTTCAATAAATGAGTCCAAGTTCGACCCAAATTAAAATTTGGGGTATGGATCTGTCCCAAAAGTAAAATTATCCAATTTTGATTTGACTCATAACATGTTAAGTTTGGATACCAAATATTGGGATTTTTTCCCCGCCATCCTTATATATGTGTATTAGTTTTGTGTGTTGCCTACAATTAATATTATATATAGCGATTGGAATATTTCCATGATGTGCATAACAAGCAACTTCAATCATCAACTTGATCGTGGAATTTGAATACTTAAAGAATGATTAGGTCAATCATATTCATATGGCTTATACACTACCAAAAATGGTTACAAAATCAACTAGGGTGAATTATAATGGGTTAGTTGTCTTAGAGTTGACTAGTAACCCATGAATCGTTCCTTGTGATCACGAGTATACATGGTTTCTGACGTTTCATTGTTGATATGAATTTACCATACATTTCGGCCCACCATGCAATTCCAAACTACATGTGATATCATGAATTCCAGAAATCTTTGGAGTTACTTGAAAAGAAAAAAAAATCAACAATGCCTGCAATTTTTGCAGACCCGCCATTATAATCCCTCCAAGCTAAACACTACTACGACAATACACATATTCTTCCATTCACATATACAAACTCGATGTATTCTAGGATAAAAATACATAATTACCCTTCACCTTATCTAGTAGTTGGTGCTGGGCCACGCTTCCTCCTCCAGCTACTGCCATTGCTTCGAAGTGTCAACTTCCCGTCCAATGGAGCCTCGAAACTGAAAAGCTTTGAGGTGCTAAAATCTCAATACAGCTTCAAAAGTCGATGACTTGCAGTTGCAGATACCACTACAAGATATCAGCCAGCTACGATCCATCAAACAACAATAGATATCGGTACAAGTGTAAAATCACTTCCATCACATCAGAGGGTTGCTGTCCGTTGTAGTGCAGCTAACCAGAGGTTCTGTCACCACCAAAACCGGACTCCAGGAATCCCGTTTGGTTGAGATGGCTAACATCACCCCAAGATTCTATGGTCCACTCGTCTCCATCGGATATGTGAAAGATGTGCACAGAAGTATTCAGTATCTTTGCAGGCCTCCCGTTAGGGCTAGTGATCTGATGGTGCCTCCGTGACTCACCACGACCACTCGCTCACCTGCAAGTCGAACATGGTTAGCAATATGAAAGCGATAGCTGGATAAGATCAATAAAGTAGATGGTACAGGTTTCCTCCGAGGGCTAGGAGATTAACAGGGAAGAATAGACTACTCAAAAGTACTAATTCTGTGTGTTACTTCTTGCACCACATGACTAATCCTCCAATGTAATAGTTTGCAGGTCTCTACGTTGGGTTTAGTAGTTTCTTGTGATAAAAATCTTAAGTGTCAACTGATACATCAGGAACTGAGGAAGTCATTGCGTCCACATATTATGAAGATCAGAAAACATGAATCTAGTAGATAGTAATGATCGACAGTTTACCTCTATGCTTTGCTGCAATTCTTTGAAAAGAACATGTGGAACGCTCATATAATTTATCAAGACTCTCGCCACCACCCTGTGCATGCAGGAAACAGCATCACTGCATATTATTAGCGCAGATATAATTTATTAAAACTGTGTCTCGCATGCTTTATATACTAGTCAACTCCAAGATTCTACTTGTCTTATAATCACAGGATTATGTGCTACTGTTAACACAGAAATTCTACTAGCCAAACTGTCGTAATTCACACTACAAGACAGGCAGCCTTAGGAGTTAGGACTAGTTCAGAATTCTATGCAATTAACCTAACTAGACAAGCCAATGTGATAGTTTCAAACTTGAACCATAAAACTGAGAACTTAGCAGATTCAGCCTACAGGACATTGCAATTTACAACTGTCCAGCAAAGGAATAAAAAAAAAAAATTAAAATAGTAATGGAAATATAGCATACAGGGATTTCATGGCTGGTTTTGTGGGATAAAAATGCCTCATATGCTTCTGGAGAAAACTTTGGCAGCTTCACTTAATGAAAGTCCTTGAAGATCCCCTAAATGTCTTTCCCGTAGCCCTGGTTCCTTGATGACCTGGAAGCTTTAGGGAATCAGAAAAAAAACTATTGTACCAGATGAAAAAATGTATAGAAACCAACACAGAATCACACATAACAGAATGTTGAAAGTTACGACTATGACAACATTTGATATCAAGCGCGGACAATGAAAAGGAGTAGAGATAATTTTCAGCTCAGAGCAATGTTACTAGTAAAAAAAAGCAAACCAAGTATTATAGATCATTCTGATTGTTGCCTAAGAAGCACAAGTTGCAGAAACCTGCAGCAGCGCTCATACCTCAATACCACCACATCTATCAGCAATTGCTTGTGCCGTGTCAAATCGGAAGAATATACAGCAGAAATCTTAGGTTCTTTGGATAGCCGATCAGCCACCTTAAACAACAAACAGAAAACTTCACATTCATCAAGTGGGTATTAATATGCCGGTCATAAGCACCAAAAATAAGCAATAGACTAGGACACAGGATTTACCAAAGCCGCTTGTTGTTGTCTCCCAACTTCATTCAGGTCAATGTCGACATGTCCCTGTGGCAAGTAGCAGGCGTAAGGCTACATTAGGTCCCCCAAAAGATACCAAGGACTAGGGCAACCAATTGAAAAAGACAACAGAGGGAGAAAAGGAAATGCTGTGTTGGTTAAAAGGAAATGCAGCTGGTTAGCAAGAAGCATATCAAACTTAGCTCTATGCAATAAAACTAAGCTGGGTTATTCTGGACATCGAACAGTATGAAACTTTCACAGAAGCCCAACAACTAGCGCTAAAGTGCCTAAGGGGTGGTATGGACGGAACATTTCCAAAATGAGCCGGATGACTATACCTAAGCCAGACTAATCCACTACACACGAGTGGGAGAAAGCTAGCTAACCTGAATCCTTCTATCAGCATTCCACTCCGTTTCGCCGTGACGAACGACGACGAACTCCGTATAAGCCGGATGAGCGGAGCTGCCATTATTCAAAAATTTCACCGAGGTTCGATCGAAATTCAAAGCGAAAGAGGGCGAAGAAGAAATAATACGATACTGGGCCTGGGAGTGGAATTGGAGTCCGTCATGGATGTGAAAGCAATTGGAGGCAAACTGACAATCTTATTCATCGATTGGAGATCAAGCTTTATACACAGGACTCATAACAGAAAAGGCCTCCAGACTCGGCAATGACACTCACAACTAACTACTGGATCCCTGGAGATTAGCTCCAAGCTAACAACCTTGCTCTGCCAACGTAAACCTTCTGCAACGGCTAGATTAGCCCGAGGGACCCTTACAGACTCAAGACAAACAATAGGGACTAAAACAGAAAGACTCCAAACGACACAGCTTAGCAAACAATTAACTCTTAAAACTCAAACGACACAGTTTTGGCTTCATCACTTTCCTTCTCCAGAAAGGATTCGGATTCACCAACTCTTCAGCAACTCCATCACGCAGCAACTTCAATCCTTGCTTTAACATCCTCCCCTGAACTGAAGCCTCCTCATCACAACTTCAGTTCACAACCTGCTGTTCCTCAAAGCCCTTCAGATCTGCTTCATCAATTATACCAAGCCTGCTCCTGAGAAGTTGAAACGCATCAAGCTTTAATGGCTTGGTCATGATATCTGCTATCTGTTCTGTAGTTCCACAGTGTTGCAACTCAATGGCTCCATCTCTGACCAGTTCCCTCAAGAAATGAAATCTGACATCTATGTGCTTACTTCTCCCATGAAGCACTGGATTCTTGGACAATTTTATGGCTGAACTGTTGTCACAGAGAATACTGGTGCATTCCTTTACTCCTCCTTTCCACCCCATCTGTCCCAGCAACCTTTGAAGCCAAACACACTGTGTAGCACAATAGCTGGCAGCAACAAACTCAGCCTCAGTGGTTGAGAGTGTCACAACTGGCTGCTTCTTGGAACCCCATGAGATTGCTCCTCCTGCAAGGAAAAACACATAGCCACTTGTACTTTTTCGATCATCCATATCACCTGCATAGTCGCTATCCGTGTAACCAATCAGATAGTCTTCTTCCTTCAGCCTTTTGTACCAAATTCCATGTGTTGTGGTACCTTTTAGATACCCCAGAACCCTTTTTACAGCTAACAGATGTTGTTTTGTAGGGGCTTCCATGTACCTGCTGAGTAGACATACAGAGTACATTATATCAGGCCTTGTAGCTGTAACATAGAGTAGGCTTCCAATTAGTTGTCTGTATTCAGAGACATCCACTGCAATTCCATCTCCCCCTTTTGACAGCTTGGTACCTGCAACCATTGGATTGTGCACAAAATTGCATTCACTTAGTTTGAATTTCTCGAGCAGCTCCTTGATGTATTTCTTCTGATTGATGAAGATTCCTGACTCAGATTGAGAGACTTCCACACCCAAGAAATACTTCATCCTCCCCAGATCAGTCATCTCAAATTCTGCTTCCATGGATGCCTTGAAATCTGCAAGCATAGTTGAGCTATTTCCAGCATACATCAAGTCATCGACATAAAGACTTACAAGCAAGAAGTCACTGCCAGACTTTTTAATGAATATAGTAGGTTCATATTCACATCTTTCAAAACCTGTCTGCAGAAAATGAGCCTCAATTCTTGCATACCAGGCTCTTGGAGCCTGTTTCAAGCCATACAGTGCTTTTTTCAGTTTGTATACCTTGCTTTCCTCCCCAGCAACCTCAAAGCCTTTAGGTTGCTCGACATAAACATCTTCAGTCAACTCACCATGCAAAAAAGCACTTTTAACATCAAGTTGAAATACTGTCAGACCTTGAGATGCAGCCAATGCTAGAAAAGCTCTGATGGTATCCCACCTGGCCACTGGAGCAAATACTTCAGTATAATCCACTCCATACCTTTGTGCATAGCCTTTAACAACTAACCTTGCTTTAAACTTGTCCACAGACCCATCTTCTTTGAGTTTTGTCTTGAAGATCCACTTGACTCCGATTGGAGTCACACCAGCAGGCCTGTCCACCAGCTCCCAGGTATGATTTCTTATGATTGCATCAATTTCTTTCTTCATAGCTTCCCTCCATTTTTCTTCCATGACTGCATCTTCAAAGGTTTGGGGATCAGTAGTAACTGCTATATTGATCCAGCAGTCAGCATCTGCAAAGTATCCTGTGCAATCATAATCCTTCAAATAACTGGGGACCACCCTCTTTCGTTTCCCCAATGTCTCTTCTGCAGGGCTGTCATAGTCATCAGTAGGTTCTTCAGAAGAGGAATCTGAGCTTGGATTTTCAGAAGGTGGTGCTGGTGCAGTGGTGGGACTTGGAGTGGATTCTTCTTCTTCACTGTCTGAGGTAACCTGCTCAGGTCCTGCATTTTGATGGGGGTCATCAGAGGATCCTTCTTCTTCATCAGAGTCATACCAGGGGTCTTCACTGCCTTCCCAAAAGATTTGAGTGAGAACAGGTTGTATATCTGACTTCCAGCTCCACCCTTTATCTTCATCAAAGACCACATCTCTACTGATTACAACCTTTTTGGTGATAGGATTGTAGAGCTTGTAAGCCTTTGATTCTTTTGAAATCCCAATGAAATGACACTTCACACTCTTATCATCGAGTTTCTTCCTCTGCAAGTCATGAACATGTGCATATGCAACACATCCAAACACTCTAAAATGGTCAACTGTTGGAGCCTTACCAGTCCAGATCTCCTGTGGTGTCTTTCCTTTGTTGGCTGCTGTGGGACTCCTGTTCAGGACATGTGCAGTCCATTCCACAGCCTCTGGCCAAAAATTTGAGGGGACTTTGGTGTCCTTCAGGGAGCAACGAACCATGTTCATGATGGCTCGATTCTTCCTTTCAGCAACCCCATTCTGTTGGGGTGTTAAGGCTGCTGTAAGTTGCCTGGTAATGCCTGCTTCTTCACATAGCTGCTTAAACTCATTCAGCATAAACTCCCCTCCTCTGTCAGTTCTAAGACACACTATTGATTTGCCAGTTTCATTCTCAAGTTGTGCTTTAAACTTAGTAAACCAAGTAAGTGCCTCAGACTTAGCAGCTAGGAAAAACACCTAAAGCTTTCTGCTGTAATCATCGATAATGGTTAGGATGTACCTCTTTCCTCCATTTGAGACTGGAGTAATAGGACCACAGAGATCAGCATGTAGAAGTTGAAGGGGCTGACTTGCTCTCCAGGTACTCTTCTTTGGAAATGTAGCCCTATGCTGTTTTCCTAGCATACATGTTTCACATACTCCCAGCTCACCAGTTAGCCTTGGCAAGCCAAGAACCAGCTCTTGTTTCTGCAGCCTCAGCAGCCCTCGAGTATTGAGATGGCCAAACCTTCTGTGCCATAGCTTTAATGGAGCCGTTTTGTTGGCACCAACCTGCAAGCACTGGAAATCTCTCATCATGGCTTCACTGGAATGATTAGCCTGAAGAACAAACATTCTGTTTGCCTTCATGTTTGTCTGCAACAGAAGTGTTCCTTGCTCTCGAAATATCTTGCAAGTGCCATTTTTTATGGAGAATTCCAGGTTCTTCTCCTGTAGCTGCCCTATGCTGAGAAGACTGGTCCTGAGACTTGGCACATAATACACATTCTGTATGACTAGTGAGACTTGACCAACCAGCATTTTGATAGTTCCTTTCCCTTCCACATCAAGTCTACTGCCATTTCCAAGCTTGACATCCCCTTTGAAACTCGTGTTAAGCTTAATGAACCAAGATTTGTCACCAGTCATATGATTGCTGCACCCTGAGTCCAAGAACCACCATTCCTCTAACTTCTTTTGTTGATCAGCCTTGTGTCCATTAGTATATGCCATGAGCAGAACATCATCCTTGAATACTTGATCCGAGGATTCAATGTAGTGTGCTGCTGTGTTCCATTAAGGACATTCACGAATGTAATGTCCCATCTTGTGACATTTGAAGCATTCTACCATTTCACGAGCCCATGCTCTTCCTCGTCCTCTGCCTCTTCCTCCACCCTGGTACCCACTTCTGCCAAATCCCCTGCCTCGGCCTCCTCCAAAGGCTTGTAGTGCCTGCTCTTCTCCATGGGAGTGCCTAGTGAACTTTTGCTCGTGAACTAGCAGCGAGCTTTGCAACGCATCCACTGATAGCTCCCCAATGTCCTTGGATTCTTCAATTGAACACACAATGTAATTGAACTTCTCAGTAAGAGTTCGTAGTACCTTTTCTACTATCTTTGTATCAGTCATATCCTCTCCGCAATTCCTCATTGAATTGGCAATCACCATAACTCTGCTGAAATACTCTGCTACACCCTCTCCTTCCTTCATTTGCAGCAGCTCGAAATCCCTGCGCAGCCCCTGCAGATTGGACTTCCCGGCAATAAAAGAATCAACGAAATTCTCATATGAACTCGGCAAAGAAACCAGCAGATTAGGGCAGCATCCTCGTCATCAACTTAACATCTATATACTACAGATCCAGCAAAATAGAGTAAGTTGTTCGAGATGTTCCCTCAAAGGCGTACCTTCTTGTCTCAAGCTGAACAACCGTTGCTTGAGATGCAGCTTGTTGGTTAGAAATTCGTCATATACAGACTCTCCAACTTTAACCACAAGCCCGCGACAGTCTTCTCAGCAACGACTTCAATGATGACATTATCAGACAACGATAGCATGATGGTCGAGTGGGCCTTCTCCTCCAGGGTATTCCACTCATCGTCATCGACCGCTGCCCTCTTCTGTTTCGCAGACAACGGCCCCCACAACCCTTGCTATTTTATTAAAGCCTGCATGATCTGCCACCGAATCAGGCTCTGATACCACTTGTTATAAACGCGCTGCTACGGATCGGGAATTCTCCGGAATGGATAAAGCAAGAATATGAAAGTGAGAATCGAAAAACACAGACAAACGATTTACGTGGTTCACTAACACGAAGTGTGTTAGCTAGTCCACGGGCGAGAGAGAGCCAGTTTCACTATATCGAGGAGATTACAGATTACAGAGGAGATGAGAATTATTTATACTTCTCCATGTGGGGTCTAAATCTAATCCAATATGGCGAAGGA